GGTTGTCAAAACTAGGGTCCCTTTTTGGGTCCTCATTATACTACGGCACCTCATATTTAGGGTACTCAAAAAGGGACCCTAATTTTGACAACCACCCATATGGTTTAGGGAGTTCTTTGGTACCCTTAAGGGTGCCACTGGGGTTTGGTGATTTGAAGGGGGGGTTCCTTGGTATGGTTTAAGCTCTAGGGATTCGGGATTTAAAGGGGTTCCTTGGTAGGGTTAAGGGGTTAGAGTTTTGGGGTTTCGGGGTTTAGGGTCTAGGGTTTAGTATAGAGGTTTAGGGTTTCGGGTTTAGGGACTTTAGGGGTTGTTTGGTACCTTTAAGGGTACCATTGGGGTTTGGGAGTTTAGGGTAGTGTGGCTTTGGGCTTCAAGAGATTTTGGGCTTAGGGCTTAAGTTATGAGGGTCTTGTTCAGGCCTTTATATTCTGTGTGTTAAGGTATTTAGGATTATGGGAGTTTCCGGAAATTAGGGGTACCTTATTTTGGAGTGAGTCCTTATAATTAGGATCCTACTAGTTAGGGTGCTATATTAGGGTCCCCTATTTTCGGAAACTCCCTTATGGGTTGGGGGTTTCAGTGTTCAGGATCGAAAGTCCGAGGCGGTTTACAGGGTTCAACAAGAAGCATATTCGGCCTTCCAGGGCTCATTCGTAGCGTGAGAACAGCAATGCCCTAAACCCTAAACCCCGACAGCTTCTGAAAAAGAAACAGAGGGAACCACCAACAGTCGCAATGCGGTTTAGGGTTTAGGGTACAAATATCAAAGACCCCCCAAAATCCTATGCACCAAAAGCCGAGGTGCAGCAATGGTCCGAGAGCCAGCGACAGTCTCCGCGAAGTAGTGATAGCGCTCCAACTGAGGATGAAGGACTCTTTATGGAGCCTATACTGAACTTAGAACCCTAGCAAAAACTTATAATTTTGGCTGTTTCTTAGGGATTATAATAGCCAAAAAATACAAATTACTTCTAAGTACCCCTAAGGAGCTTGGGATTTGGAAACCGGGACTTTCAAAGTGCAGCGCAAAACACAGGTTCTTCTGTTCGTGTTTGGACTGAAGCCAAAACGGAAGCTGGTAGCTTACACAAAGCAACAAGAACCCGTGCACTGTCCGCGGTCCGAAGAGAGAACAGAACGAATGCGAGACTGCTGCTCGATGTCCTGATGATCACCGTGACTCCTGCGAAAGGGGCCTCAATACTTCGACGAATTCGGGTTTAGGAAATAGGTTTTAGTAAAGTCACGAAGAGCCTGTAGGCTGTAGCTGAAATGCCAAAAGCAATAAAATATTCAGTCTCCTAAGTACAACTTCCCTTTGCAGGAACGCCTTGGCCCTCCCAAGCGGCACCGGGGGTTGACCTAATATCACCTGTGACGTGTAGAGCCAGAAAGAACCGTAAGCCGCCGTAAGCCCTTGTCTGTCTGATGGTCGAACTACTATACACCCAAGCTGGGACCCGAAGCCCTTAGTTGCCTTTTGCTGGACTTGTCGCTAGGTCGTTTTAAGGTTTTGGTAGTCCTAAACCCTACGGTCCTTCCTGCAAGGACCCAGGCAAACAAAGCAAGCCCAAACTGTTCGAAACACCCCGCAAAACCAGGGTTGTCGAATGACAACGTAACGATCGTACCCCCGGTCCCATGCTAAGCCATGAACCTCAAGCGTCTTTGGGGCAGGAGGGGATATTGTTCAAAACCTAGCTGAAACCTAAACCAGAAACCATCCACCATACATGATACGGCCTAAACCCCTAAACCCTAAACCCCTAAACCCTGCTTATGCATAAACCCCTAACGCCTTCCAGCTGCCAGTTGATGATTTTGCAGGCTCCGGCTTAAGGTGGTTCGCTTCGGGGTTTGAGAGGTTGGGAATACTGCCGTCTTATAGGTGCTTGTCAAAATTAGGGCCCCTTCTTGGGGTACCCTAAATATTCAGTGCCGTATTATAATAAGGACCCAACAAGGGACCATAATTTTGACAACCACCCATATAGCTTCAGCATAATCATACCGTTACCACCTCAAAAGGGCTCGTCCCATCAAGAAGCAAGTTTACGGCTTTCGGGGCTTTAGGAACTCAGGCCCGCCACTTGAGAGTTTCCGAAAATAGGGGACACGAATATTAGTACTCTAGATAGTAGGATCCTTATTATAATATAAGGACCCCCAAACACAGTACCCCTAATTTTCGGGAAACTCCCATGCAACAGTGTAGGTGGGCCTTGGGGCGCTCGAAACCCCAATATCATCCATAGTTGGGGTAGGTAATTACTAAGGCCACATCCCCGAAGTAAATATTATCACCCTTAGTCGTCTGAGATTGGAGATGGGGGTTGAAGTCAGGGGAAACCAGGATTGCCACCTGCGGAGAATGCTCGAACGAAGCAAAATTGCCGTCGATATCGTGGATGAGCAGAACCTCCAGTCACCCTTCAAGCTTTGAGCTCGAAGGCCAAAACCCCCAAACAATCAGAAGCCTTTGGAAATGAAAAGGCATGGGGTTGAAGGCTCGCGCTGCAGGAATCTGGGATCAGGCTTTAGGGCTTGGGGCTTTAAGGCTTTAAGGCTTGGGGTTTTAGAGTTGAGGCCCTAGAGCTTTGAGACTTGATGTTTAGGGCCCATATCAGGTTTAGGCTGTGCTCTAGGTTCCGAAGTTTACAAGCTAAACCAATATGTCTGGAAGAATGGTAGTAATAGTAGTTATAATTGTACTCCATTCCTCCATTCCCTACTAACCAAAGGTAAGCTACAAAGGGTTGAGAGCCCCCCCCATCTTCACGAAGACCCAGGAGGGGACGATGTGCTGCTAGCGATGTACTCTCCCAGTATCCAGCATCGGTGCTTGCTTCAATAATTAGGGCTGTAACTCCCCCACAAAACACGGAAACCCAAATGAGGCACACATTTACATCCTTAAACTCACCTCTGCTAATTTTCAAGAAAATGAGGAAGGCGCTCGGGAACGGACCCTGCACTAGATGCTTTGAGGGGGTACATTCTACGATGCTCGTAGAGACTATAAGCGGAAGTTATCACATAACTGATGATGCTAGCAGTGAGATGAACACCGAAGTGATGTTCTTGAGATGAGACATGGACCCTTAAACCCTAAACACCGCTCTCCACCCACCCGGAGGGTCTCAGAGGAGTGCCCAGGTTCTGTGTGGGAAAGGCTTTCGAGCTTGGGGTATGGGGTTTAGGGTTTAGGATTTATGCAATCGGTCATGCGGACTGTCACGAAGCGAACTAAATGGATGCCAATTAAGAATTCACTCCAGTTAGCCATCACTTGCCTGTCTGCGGGCACGTCGATGGGTGAAGGGTTTAGGAGTGGTGGGCTAAGGGTGCAGGATACGGGGCTTTGCTTTGGAGCTCAAGGCTTTCTTTGACTCATGCTCGAGGTTTGGAGACTGAGCCATCAACCCTCAACTCTAGACCGTAGTAAGGGGGCCTTCATAATTAACATCGGGCTTTGGGGTATATGAGAAATACTATGATGATAGAGGGAAGCCCCAGCATAGTCTAGGTAATAATTTAAGGCCGCTATATTAGGATCCGGATTCCGGATGCCGTGAGGCCACTGCAGACTGAGCGAGGCAAACTGTAGTCACCAAGTCTTAGGGATGGAGGAATTGGGCACAATTACACCTACTATTACTACCAATTCTTCCATTCCCTACTAACCAAAGGTAAGCCAAGGCTGCGGCAAGATAGTCTTGGGTGCGTTCGGCTTCCGCCACTTCATCCACCAGGAACCTAGGATGCCAGTGTCACAGCACCCTAAGCGCTACACACTGAACCTGAAACGTCTCGTCTCGGAAAGGACTCAATGATACCGTGGCCTTGAGTACTGAATAGTGGATTTTGCAATCTAGTATGCTACAACACGCTCGGAGGGCCGCACCGGATGAGCGGATTGAGAGCAATATGTGCTGCGAGTCGATACTCCTCTTGCTTTAGTAGCCCCGGGATCATGCTCATGACGGTGGGCCTGAAAGGTGAGGATAGGTTCCAAGGTCTGATACGGGGGCCTTTCAAATGAGAATATGGTTATTGCTTCTGTCATACTTCTGAAAATATATATTCAGGAAACGAGCATTGTTGGTGATTTTCCATCTTCAATCCCCCACATTAGGGCTTGTACAGAGAACTACACCTGCTGACCTCGAACCTCGGCGTCGATTGCCACGATTGACGTTCGGCAAACAGAAATTCGGATGCCCCCTTCTCCCTAGCTCGGAAGCGCGAAACCCGTAAAACCGAACCCCTAAACCCCTAAGCCTATGTCTCAAGCTCCAAGCTGCAACTTTTGGCAGAGCTCAAACCCTGATTCTGAAACCTTAGAACCGAAGCCATAAACAGCCCCAGACCTTCGATCGGTCCCAATCACAACACGGCCCTACAACACAAATCCTAAGCCCAATATGCTCGTCTATACACCCCAAGCTCAAAGCCAAAATGTCTTACACCGTACACCCACAGCCCGATGAATGTATGCATGTTTGCTTCTTGGGCTTGAACATTTCGGCCACTTCTTGTTGGTGCACTGTAGAGCTTCGGGTATTTAGAGATTGTCGAGGGCACACTCTTTGGACCTCATGGCAAAGATGGATCGGGTCACTAGAAGCTATATAGGGGCTATCGGGGCATTTCTCAGCAGGTTTGCTTTGATAACGATGCCACACAGAAGGCCCTCAACTCAAGACATCATTCAAAGTCCACGCCTGATGCAGTTCTAAACGTTCGCGCTGGAGACTGAAACTTCTGGGCAATACAAGTCTCCCGTGATTATTCCGGCAGGCTGTATTAAATCTAAACCCGAAAGTCCTCTGTGGTTCATCCTAAAAGCAGAAGCGAGGCACCCAGCTGGTGAAAGAAGCAAGGGTCTACCGCGAAGAGACGTTCGGCTGTCGGTCAGGCAAGGATTACTCGCAGGATCCCAAGACCAAACCCTCAAAAGTCCGCCACCGCGCATCAGGAAATTTTCCGGTACACAGTCAAGCTGCCCAGCACTCTAGGAAAGCCCTCACCAAGGCAGCAAAAGGTGCGAGAGCTGTGGAGTACTTGACGATGACCTCGTGCCTAAAGCTGTCGGCATGTCGCTCCACAATCTGCTGAACTGCGAGCTGGCTCTCGAAGCTTACTTGGTGGGGCTGGAGGGCCAAAAGCCTTGACAGTAGGTCACGTGAACCTAACAGCTTTCTGATCGAATGCCACGAGTGCTCTCTGTAACCGAGCAGGCCCAGAATAGCAGCCATCACGTCCAGCATCATGTCAGCTGGCTTAATGATAGTCTTGAGGTCTTGCAGCTGAGTTTCCTTTACCCGAGAAACTGCTGTGCGAGCAGCCTGCAACACAACGGCAGCCGTTTCTGATAAAGTGTGGCGAATCACGGCCAAAGAAACATCCTCCTGAAGGACATCCGTGGCAGTCAGAGGAGAGCCCGCCAATAGCAAGGTGGGGCGAACATCATCGCAGAACTTGGCGGCCAGATGACACTGCAGATCGCCTGCACGACATGGTCCTTCCTGCTGCCGCTCAGTGAGTAGATCCCCGTTCCTGACTTGATGCTTTAAAGTAGGGATGCAGCAAAGCAAATTGAATCCCCCGTACCGCTCCTCCTGGGACTGTGGTATTCCGAAATACATGTCCCCTAACCGCAACAACCCCATACCCGGATCCCACTAAACCGCAATCCCTAAATTCTTAGCGCTCCACCCGGGTGTCTAAACAAAATCCTGAAAGCTAAGCTTGTCAAAAAAAGAACACTGGTGACCATAATCGCTCAACTCTTCAAAACTGGACCTTAATCCCCAAACTCTTGAAAAACCGACCATAATCCCTAAACTCTCCAAAACTGGCTTTCTCTGGACACCTAAGTTTCAATGCGCTCCGGAACTCAACACGGAAGGGGTGTCAATCTGTGAAGTGTACCGCTGTCTGATTCTGCCATCTCCTCCGAAGTTTCCCAAAGCAAAGCTGAACAGTTTTATCCCGGAGGCACAAGAGTGGTTCGAAGCGTGGCAAAAGCGGCCGCCGTCTCTGCAGGCAGGACCCCTGCTTCTTCGTTTTAGATTGGTAGCGGAGCCTTATGCTCCAGTAGTCCTCTCGCTACTGCGCAATGTCGGATGTCCGAACTTCCTTCTACGGTTCTACTTGGGTTTCTTCGGGCGATGTTCCTCCCGGACCTAGTGACGATTCGCCGCAGCAACATAGTGATGGCGTAGCTGCTGATCGCGGCGACGCAGGAGATGGCCCTGTCTCTCATGATGTTCATGGGGCAGGCGAAAGAGACGACGACTGGACCAGGGACGATCCTTGGTCCAAGGGACGGAGTGGAGACCAGGCTGCCGCCTGGTGGGGACACTCCGAGTGGGGAAGCTACGCCCACTGGGATTCTCGAGGTGAACCTTGGGACACTCGGTGGCAGAACCACGAGCGTGTCTGGCATGATCGGCGCCAGAGCTACGGGGGGACCTGGGGGTCCACCTCGACCGGGACCGGCTCTGTGCATGAGAGCCCCTCGCGAGACTACGATCATCAAGAACAAGGCGCCGAGGCCTGGAGGACGCGTGGTGGTGCTGCTATGCCTGGCGGATGGCAGCCTCAGAAACTTGGCTGCGACCTGACCTCTGCTCCCAAGACCGGAGAGAGTGCCAGGGGGCCGTCCGAGAAGATGGTGGTCCCTTCCTTCGCCGGGACCCTGGAAGCGGGGACCGAGGACATCGGGGCCAGTGCGAGGTCCTACTTGAGGCAGATTGCGGCTTGGCGCCGCATGACGAGGATCGACTCTTCGAGGCAGGCCTTGACTCTTTATCAACACTTGTCGGGCAAGGCTTGGATTGATGCGGAGCGTCTCGATGTTGACAAGCTCGCCGGCGAAGATGGAATGGAGTACTACCTGAGTTGGGTTACGGACAGATACTTGGATGTTCAGGTGACGCAGATCGGCAGATCCCTCGGCGACTTCTTCCGCCGACTCCGCCGACAACAAGGCCAGTCTGTCCGCGACTACATGAGCGACTACGATCGGGCGTTGGCGAGGTTGCAAGAATGCGGGTGCCACTTACCTGATATTGCTGCTGCTTGGGTGTTTGTGGACAGGATGGCCCTGTCCGAGGAGCAAGAGCTGAACCTCCTGGCGTCCGTCCAGAACGAGTACTCTTTGAAGCGTCTGCAGCAGGCGGCAATAGTGCAGGACAGGAGCTTGCGCAAGCCTTGGGAGCCGAACAACAGCTCTCAACGCCAGGATCGGGGAAGCAAATGGTGGAGCTCTCGCCGCCCTCAACAGGCGAATATGGCTGATGATGGCCATCCTGACGAGGACGACCCCGGCGACCTCTTCCCGACGGACGACCAGTCCGAGTGTGTACCAGAGCATGTGGCTGAGGAACTCTTCGAGGCCTTTATGACTCACGAATCCGCAAAACAGAAGTACAAGGAGCTTAGCAAACTTCGAGGAGCGGACCCGGAGGGCATGCGCCAACTCGCTGCTGATCGCCTCCAGCAGGCAAAGAACAAGTCGTTCTGCTCAGGGTGCCGAAGGAGGGGGCATTGGCACAAAGACCCTGAATGTCCTTTGAATCAGGGAGGCGGGAACGGTGCTATCTCTAAGGGTCCGAAGTCGTCACCTCCGAATGCCAACAAGGACGACGTGCCGAAGACCAGCTATGCTTGCCACTATGTCTATGTGACCTGGGATCTGGACCAGAAGGTTGCCACCGCCAATCTGACCGCGATCACCGACACGGCCTGCTCGAGGAGCGTGGCGGGGGTGCCATGGATCGAGAAGTACATGGTCGAAGCCCGGAAGATCGGTTTTGTGCCTGAGACGGTGATGTGCAAGGATGCTTTTAAGTTTGGGGCAAGCCGCATCTTTGATTCCTCCTACGCTGTCGTGTTGAGCTTTGGAGTGGGAGGCCACTCTATCTTGCTTCGTGTGGCAGTGGTGAACGGGGACGTCCCTCTCTTGATTTCGAGGCCAGCCTTGGGGCAGCTTGGAATGATCATGGATGTAGCGGCCAACAAAGCTTCTTTTCGCAACCTCGGTGTCCAGGATCTCAGTCTTTTGTCGACGGACACGGGCCATCCGGCCCTCCCCGTACAGCCGTTGACTGTTAGCGCCGCGGCCATCAAGAGCTGCGATTGGCAGGACCGCGAGCTGCTGATTGTTCCGAAGTCCCAGCAATACACGGCGTTCATGACAGTGCATAGCTGTGAGTCTTCAGATGATGATGAGAGCGCATGTCGTGTCGAAGCCCCTCCTCTTCTCCCTGGTCTGTCGGTCAACAGTGCAGAAAGTCCTCAGGTAACTACAAGCCCCAAGGTGTTCTATCCGAAGAAGATCAGCATTGAAGCCTCCAACCTTCTTACTTCAGATAAGATGAATCCAACAAGTTTCATGGCGTGGTGGTCCCAAACATCGATCTCCAACGACTTCTGGATAGAGGATGAGTTTCAGCTGCACCGTATTCATGTTGTCCCTAGGCGAACCTTCTTTGATCCCCGCGGTTGGACCACTTCAAAGGGCGATCAGAAGTCTGCTCTTCTCGAGGCTCTGGGTTCGGTGAGGTCGTCTCAGGGGTATGCTTGCAGTACTCAGCGTGCGTTTCCTGAAGTACATGATCAGTGGAGAGAGCTCGGAAGCAAATCGTCATTCCCGCTTTTGTGGATCGGCAGAACTTCTTTCAGTAGAGCCTGCAGGCCCCTCCCGTGTGCGGCTTCGCTCCAACCTCATGGCCTCCAGTGCCCAGCTTCTGACGGCTCCCGTGGTGACCAAGAAGAAAGGGCTATGGGAACTACGCCGCGAGGAGTTGATCGCGGAGGCGAACGCACGCGGGCTGATGACTCACCCGAAGTGGACGGTGCCCGAACTGAGGAGCATCATTCAGGAGGACATGAAGAAGAGCTCGGCGGCATCATCCGGGACCCCGTTCGAGGCGACCCCCCTGACCAAGATGACTGTGAAGGACTTGGAGAATGCCCTGGAGGCCTCGGGTATGGCGGTGCCGGAGAAGGCCAACAAGGGAGTTCTCATGAGGCTCCTCCGCGACCAAGGAGGTCTGGGCCCTCAGACCGTCCTCTCCTTCGGAAGGTTTCGTGGTCAGATGTACCAGGAGACCCCGATCTCGTATCGACGATGGGCAGTGCGAGAAGTCGCGGGGAACAACGGGGCCCAAGAGGATCTGAGGATGTATGCGACATGGGCGGCCAAGGCCCTCGAGGTGACGGACGGCTACATGGCTTCGTCGACCCCGACTCCCTTTCCGGACTCCGAGGAGAGCGCGAAGGTACCCTACCACCCGGAATCCTTCGGAGGGAGTTCCTGGGACCTGGTGCCGACGGGCGAGACGAACGACTACAAGGTCAAGTCCAAGGCGAAGGCCAGGCCCACCAAGGTCCCAGCGGAGGCGGAGACAACCAGAGTGCCCGCGCAGAGGCGGGGACCATCTTCAGTGGCACCATCTTCGACGAGCCGCATGGAGCAGGAAGTGGACCCGGAAGTCATGGACGAGGTCCAGTACCTCCAGGCGAGACTGGCAGTCCTCCAGGACCGCCACGGGATCCCGCCGTCCGGGAACCTGCCCTGAACTGCGAGTTCGAGACCGCCGCCTACACCGATGCCGAGGTCTTCTATGACTGTGATGATTTCGCTCCCAATGCGAACCTTGGCAAGCACGGTGGCGGGAACTATGAGGCTGGCAGGGACCAGCACTGTGGGAGCAGCAAAGTTTTGACCCAGGCCGACGGAGATCGGCCTGAAGGCCATTTTGGCGAATGCAACCCTAATTCGTTTTCTGTTCAGCCCAATGACCGCGATCCTCAGCTTTGGCTTGATCGCACGAGGAATGAAGCTTCGACCTCTGAATGTCATTGCGATCCCGTGGGACTACCCGGTCACGAGCCCTTAGCTCCAGAATGTCCTCGCAATCCTGATGGACTACCTGGTCGTGATCTCTTAGCTCCAGAATGTCATCGCAATCCTGATGGACTACCTGGTCGTGATCCCTTAGCTCCAGAATGTCATCGCAATCCTGAAGGACTACCTGGCCGTGATCTTCAAGCTTCTAGCAGCGGTAATGCTACCGGATGGTCTGGCAGTGGACCCCCTAGTCTCCGAGATGGCTGTCTTTACGTTGGTGATCCTTGTTCTCACGTGGCATTCGACCAAGTCGTCGAGGAGGTCTACCTACAAGATGAGTCCACAGGCAGTCGGGTTCCAGTTGACAGCTCAGGACGACAGCTCGAGGAAGCTGCTGCTGCCGCTCTCAAAGAAAAGCGATTCTCTCTGGAAGTCCTACGTGATCTACTACCTCTGATACCTCCTAAGACCTCGAAGAAGCATCGCAGCATCAACGGCGAAGTGGGACTAGAGTCTCAAAGTTTTCTCGGTGGGATGTGGAACCACGGAGGCCTACACGGGGTGTCTCGCGACTCAGTACGATTCCCGAAGTTCGTCTCCTACGTCAACGAGGTCATGAAGAGGGAGACAAAGGGGAGAGACCTCGGATGGTCGTCGTTCATCGTCACAAAGGACATTGCTACTACAATCCACCGCGACGCCCACAACCTCTTTGGAACCTCCGTTTTCACGGTGACCCTGGGAGAATTCTCCGAAGGCAGTGTCTGGGTCGAGAGGGACTGCAGCGACGACCCTCTGCATCTCCCAGTT